GGAAAAACAGATATTCACTAAACAAATGGATAAGAACACAAGATAGTAGAAAGTCTCTTCCTTTTTCCTCTTCAGAAAATAAATGCACTTTGACATACTAATCATAACCATTTTCTTTCTTTAGAGAACTTCTTGCTAATAATCTTGTCTCATCCTTTTCTGATTATAAAGTCCTCTATTCTGTGCAGCCCTCACAGAGCCTTTCCCTTGCTATCTGGGATGCTGCCTGATTGATGAATCATTTCATGAAACCAGTTTGATCTCCAAATTTATTTTAGACAAATTTTTGTTTTTCAACACTCTTGAGTACAATGCTGCATTAAGTAAGCTTCATTTTATCGTTTCCCTCCAGGGTGACAGGGGCCAACATAGGGGGCCACTTCTACCTTACATTTGCATGATTTGTCCCCTTTTCACATTTTTCTGTCACCTCTAAAGCCTTCAATAAGTCATTTCTCTATAGCTTGACCGAGCAGTTCCTTCTGGAGGTTGTTGTCTGCTGCAGAATTAATCACTTGCTCACTTTGGGTGCCTAGCATATTTCTTACACCCACACCCCGTCATCTCACTGCACAAGGAGTAAGTCAACTGAACTGAGAAAAAAAGCTCCTTCTTCAAGACATTCATTCCAGAGGGGTCCTCAGAGGAGGCAGAAATCTCAGGTTGGAAAGAGGGTCATCAGAGCATTTAGTGACATCATCCAATTAGGAGAAAAATCCGCCACATCATTTAGCCAAGAGGATTTAGCAAAACAGTTAAACTCTTAACAGAAATTTTATTTAGGCTCATTTCACAAACATGATCAGCAGACAAACACTTTTTTAAAGAAGGTTCTGTTTCATCTAACTATAAAGAAGGAACACATTTAAGCCCAAGTAGGAACTACTCTGGCAATATATGTGTACAAAAATAAGCACCCTATAGGGCTCCTTTTAAATTAGACAGGGTGCACAGAGAAGTCTTTGAAAAGAAAATTTTGGGAGAAAAACATTTTTTCTTGATTTCATGAATACTCATTGTTTTCAGCTGAAGAAAGTACAAACTTACGGGTAAGTGCCTCCCCCCATACCTCTCCCCCCACAAAAAAAATCCAATGAGCTCTTTTAAGTCACCTCCTCAAACCATTCCTGCCTGCTATACCTTGTAACTTGTGAAGTAACTTGTAAACCAACAAATCAGAAAAGCAAGAAGTGATCTAGGCAGTTCCAGATTTCAAACTCAATACACATGGAAGGCTTTCCTTTAGTAATTGTTAGGGCGAAAGGATGTCCTGAGCAAACTCTATACAGGTTTTGTGGACCCCACCCCCACTCCAGACCAAAGCCATCAAGACACTGGGAATGACAAATCCCATCATCACCAAAGGGAGGGTTGCTGGGACCTGAGGGTGAGGTTAAGCAGCCAGGTTTGGTATAAACCCTTTATTAACATTTTGTGTGCACCTGCGGATGAGTATTAATAAGTCCTTTCTAAGCCTGTGGGTAAAGACCCACAGTCAAGCAACCCATTTCATATTGGGGTTGCCCTATAACATTCTGACACAGGAAGGCAAGTTTTGCCTAGTTGCTGTCATTGTGTATTAATATGCTGTTTGGTCTTTTGAGCACTGGATAACCTGCTTCAGCTTATTTTGCTGACTCTAAAAAAAAATAAATAAATAACTTCAACAACACTGCTCTTCCCAATCCTTTTCCCCAAACTCAATCATGTCATTTTGCTCAGAACTTTTAGAAGCTCCTAGGCCAGTAGCCATTCCCACCCTTACCAACTGTTCAGATACGGCCCAAGTGTGTGCTTTTCTTGACTTAGTCCTGTGAGACAAATTATGAGTCTTAATCAGGATCAAGATACAATTATGTAAAATTGTGGCAACTTGATATGAAGCAAATATTTAACAGTCTAAAATAAATGAATAACAAATCTAGTCAGTCAGGTAAAGAAAGAAGAAAGAGATTTTTACCAGGAACCTAGGGCTTGCACATGTTGGAAGGGTTTTATAGGCAGGAAGAGCTCAGGACAAGGCTAGAGTAAAGAAAAGCAAGATTATTTCAGACAAAGTCACCTTCCCTCAGGGCAAAGCTGGGGGTCTTATCTTGCAGAAACTCCAGAGTGATAGGTTTAAAATTCCACTTTTGGGAGAGGCTGAAACTGTAGGTGTCACACCTGGGTGGGACCTAGAATGACTCCATTTGGGACCTGTTTTTTCCCTTCTTTTGCCTCAAGGAGTGACATTGGGGGAAAAAAGCAAGATGTCCATCCCTTGGCTACCTTCTCTTCCCCCTCCTCCATTGTGTGTGTGTGTTTAACACCTGTGAACACCAAGCAAGAGAGGAGATCTAGCGTATTCATTTCTTATGTTCCTTTGATCTGTTGTTAGGAGCTGTGCAGCCTTCATACATTTTTGAATTGTCTTTGGCTTTTATTTTTGCTCTTAGGATAAAATTTTAAGCTTATTTAAAGAAAAATTTGGCCTGAATAATGAGTTTCCTCAAAAGATTGAAAAAATTTGTGAAGGAAATAATGCAGAGAGAATAATGAACTTGTCAACACCAAACTCAACTCGCTCACTCCACCCTGCACACCCCTTCTTAGCCACTATCAAGTCATCTCTTCCTCCTTTGCTGAGTGCAATAAACCTTTGTTGGATTACTAGGCTTGCTACCTTCAAATTCTTCATTATTAATTACACAAACTTGATCTCATTACATGTGTGTAGAGATAGACACATATATGTCCATGTTTTAAAATCTTTGAAAATTGTTGGCTGGTTTAGGTTAAGATGAAATACATAATGCACTTTCCCATTAACATTAATGGAGTTTTTTTCCTTTAATATAGAAATTTCACTTAACAGCATGACTTATAGAAATGAATGAATATTGTTAGCCAACGTACAGGTCAATTGGTTTCAAAGTATTTTACAAAAATATTTTTCTGAGTAATCCATAGACTTTAGACTATTAAAGAAGTTTATGGCATAAAAGATAACCAAACTGAGGTTACCAGAGGTGATGGGGTGGAGGTGGGAGCAAGGGTGGAAAGGGTAGGGTGGATGGTGCTGGGTAGTTTGATTTTTTTATTGATTTTTTTCTTTTCATAATAAAATTTTTTTTTAAAAACCAAGAAAACAAGAACCTCTGGGTTTAGATCCTAGAACAGTCTCTAACATATAATAGAGGCTCAATAAATATTTCTGGATACCAAATGATCTTTAACTCATAGCAACAGCATTTGTTTTATTAAAATGTCACTAAACTATTCAGATAAAAATTGTTTGAAAAGTGTCATGGTGGTGGGCCTCCCTGGTGGCTCAGGGGTTAAAATCTCAGTGCTCTCAAGCTATCACTAGCCACTGCAGCAGGAGTTGGCTCTCCAGCCAGGGAGCTGAGCCACATGACGGAACAGATCTCTCCTGTCTCGCCCACTGCTCCCCTCAGCAGTGTATTTCAGTAGATCCACCTCTTCTGCTCTCCGCTCTGTCTCTGGTGAAGCATGTCACCCCCCCCCCACCTCTGGCCTACACCCAGTTCTT